AGAACAACCTTAGAAGAAAGCAAAGAAGACCAGGTGACACATGAACACCCACTAATAGTCCTGAAGAGAAACGCTATTGGACTTGTTGGGTCTTATTGGAAGGTAAAAGGTTCAACCCAAATTCTGGATTTGAAAAGCTACCAAACCCACCGATCCCAGAACTCAAAATACTTCCAATCCCCACCATGGAAATCCTATCCTGGAAAACCCTGCCCTGAGAAACCCTTTATATAACCTGCCTCCTGCTCAGATGCCTGCTGCTTCTCTGTGGAGCACAGGCAGCCACCATCTGTGTCTTTCCCAATAAATCTCTTGAGTGAGGTTTGTTGTGCAGTGCGACCCTGTGGCTCCTCACAGCCAGGATAGATTTCCCCTCAGAGCCGCAACACTTCCACTGGGGAGATTTTCCCCTCAATACTGTACACCAACACTTGCCTTAAACCATGAGGGACAGCACAGGAACTGTCTCCTACCTGACTTGAAGAGTCAGCAACACAACCTGGTTATATGAGAAGGAGGGGTATGGCAGAGGTTTGAAATAAAGAACTCTGATTTTCTCAGTCCCATGCCTTCTGCGGGACATGGATAAAGTGCTAGTTCCTTCTCACCCTAAAGAGATGAAAACAATTTCAGCGGCATTGAGTGGACACAGAAGCTTGTCTAGCTGAGGCATGGCTTTCCCAGACTAGTGCCAGTTCTGGCGATGCTGTGACTGGATCATGTCTTCAGCTGGTATTGTGGAGGTCCTCTGCAGCAGCTGATCTGTCCTCAGAGTGACCTTGTCTACAACAGCCAGGCTGACAGGAGGGTGGGACAGTCAGGTTTCCTGTCAAGAACCCAATCAAGCCTGCATGACCAGGAGAGGTTTCTCTCAAATTTCTGCTCTTCTTGTCAACTTAATCTACTTGTATAAAGCATTTAGTATCCAATATCATAACAAACATTAGTTAAGCTCCACGCATAGCTAACAATTTTATTACTAGTGAACAATCTTAGTAGTATTGGCCAATATTTGCTAGTGTTTAATCCTCCCCAGTGCCCCAGGGGAGGCATCTCTCTTCTTTAAGCTTGCTAGCCTTGAAATTTAATTCTTACAGCTAGACAAACTAAGACAATAGGCAAATCAACAAAAGCATCTAAGAACGAGGGGCTGGGAATGTAGCTTAGCTGGTAGAATGCTTGTCTAGTGTGCACAGAGCCCTGGGTTCATCCCCAGCACTAAATACCCGAACATGATGGTGTTTGTGTGTGATACCAAGACTCAAGACAAAGAGGCAAAGCATCAGGAATTCAAGGTGCACACAGTGAATCGGAAGCCAGCCTAGGGCACATAGAGTTCATCTCAAAGCCAAAAGAAAGAAAGCAAAAGAAATCTAAGAATTAATAGAATATAAAGGAAATTAAAGTTCCAAGACAGATATGGAGGCTCCACCTCTCCCTGAAGGACTCAGTGAGGTGTTAAACATTGTTAAAACCTTTTCAAAGTTAGTGTTAATGCCAGGCTCATCAAGACCTTACTGTGGGGCTGGAGAGATGGCTCAGCGGTTAAGAGCATTGCCTGCTCTTCCAAAGGTCCTGAGTTCAATTCCTGGCAACCACATGGTGGCTCACAACCATCTGTAATGAGGTCTGGTGCCCTCTTCTGGCCTGTAGGCATACCCACAGACAGAATATTGTGTACATAATAAATAAATAAATATCAAGACCTTACTGTAAGCTCTGCCTGGGGTGCTTATTTTCCTGTAAATAAATAAACATGTTGGGGCTAGAGCAGACAATTGTATTTAGTAATATTCAGCTGGTGGATTCTGACTGCTTTGAGCATAATGACTGTCAGTCAAGTAGCCAGCCAACTACACTTGTAACTGCAGAATTCCCTTGAAAACGTTGCCATGGATCATAGAGGGCAGCCTGGCTCCTCTAGGTGGCGCTGTAGCAAGGGTTGTTCTTAGAATTTGTAGGCCACTCTTGGGTCTCAGGAGCTCTGGTGAAATCTCCATGACCCTGTAACTATTTTTTCTCAGGCCAGAGGAGAAGCACTTCCTCTGATGGTCTAGCAGAGAGACTGCTGGGATATGATTAGTGCCAAAGACAAAGACATGATTGGCTAAAACAAACCCTCATTTGTATGTGAGGTGCACTATGATTGGTTGAAATACAACCTTTCATTAGCATTTGAGGCAAGCTGTGATTAATTGAAACACCCCTTCTGGCTAAATAAATAGGTTGTTCAGGCTTATTTAAAGCATAGGGGGATACCTACTGTATGCCTCTTTTGATATTGCAGAATTGGGGGCAGTAAAAGGCGCTCCTCTCTCTCTCTCCCTCTCTGTGGTAGAATCTCACTATCTAGCCATGGTTGACCTGGAACTTGCAACTTGCAATTTAGACCAGCCTTGTCTCAAAGAAACATAGACCCAGATATGACTCCCTAATTCTGGTACTAAAGTTATGTACTTCCAAGTCTAGCTTTTAAATTTCATTATTTTATGTGTTTGTTTATGTATGTCTGTTCACATTTATGAAGGGATGCCAGAAGCCAACATCAGGTGTCTTCACCATTCTCCACGGTCTAGTTTGACATAGGGTCTCTTTCTGAACATGGAACTTTGCCCTCTGCCCCACAGTGTTGGAATTACAAGAACTTGGAAGAACACTCAAGACTTTCTTTTCTGTATGGGTTCTGGGGATCAATGGTTGCAAAGCAATTGCTTTATCAACTGAGTCACTCTCCAGCTTTTTGAAAGACCTTGCAAATGACCCTTTCTTATCTACTTTGGTAGTGCAGGCTGAGTTGGTAATAAGGGAAATGCAACCTAAAAGTAGAGCATGCAGCAGTGGTATGTTAACTTCTTATTTGTTGCTGAGATGAAATATCATGACCAATGTAATCCACAAAAGAAAAAAATTATTTTCTCTTATAGAACAAATTGATAGACGAGAAGGCAATGGGGGAGGGGAGGAGGTGGGCAGAACAAAAGGCAAGAGAACACATCACCAGCTACAAACATGGAGATGAGAGAGCAAACTGGAAGCAGGTGGGGTGAAGAACTCTCAAAGTCTCAAAGGCCACCACCAGTGACACACTTCCTACAGTAAGCATGCATCCCCAAAGCAGCCCCACTGGGAATTAAGAGTTTAAATACACAATAATACGGGGGCATGGATCAACCCAACCCCACAGGTGTTGGCAGTTGAACAGTAAGACCCAAAGACAAGACCAAGGAGAGACAGCTGGCCAGTTGAAGCTGAAGAGGAGACAGCTGAGCAGTTCAAGAGCTCACAGACACAAGGTTGATAAGGGAGAGGGGCGAGGAGGAGGAGAGAAGACCACACAGGGCCTGTGAAGAGTTCCAGGTATCTGTCAAGCTCACAACTGAACATAGCCGCTTTCCTTGTCAAACTCGCAGAAAGCAGCACGGTATTCTTCAGGAAGTGAGTAGATACACAGAAGTATATCCAGTTAATGGAGTATTATGGAACCCTGGAGTGAAACTTGCTTCCTGCTACCCCGGGGAAAGCTAGCTGTATGTTCCCAAGGGACGAAACTGAGATAGTTTCTTGTTGCTTGTGACCAGCATGTGACATTCTGGATAGGGCAAACATTGCAGAATGCATGTCAGTGATTCTAGTTCATGGTAATAACAGAGTGCCAAGGGCCACATGTAGAGACAGTGAAATGGTGCCATGGACCTGTGGTGGCAGGTGCATGTCATCATCCCCATGTCCTAACCTGGGCAATGTCCAGAGTAGACAGTGGGCACCTGCTTGCAGTGAAGACACCCACAGTGCTGCTCCCAGATTTAAACAAACAGATCTCAGGGAAGAGCAAACTCAAGAGAGAGGACAATGGGATCCCCGTATTCTCTCCCTGATTTTTCATGGAATCCCAAAACCCTTACTAATAAACTCCAAAAAGAATTTCTTCAAGAGTTGTTTAAGAAAGAAAAGACCCGGAGAGGGGGAAATATGTTTAAAACTCAGTCAAGTGCCAAGTTAACAGTTTCACCTGTATTGAAGAATTTTTTCTAAAGAGACAGGGAAGAAGGATCCTCTTATCCAAACAAGAGAAGCCACAGGTCCAGGTCTTCATGTCCCTCGAAGGGACAGTGACCCAGGGACATAGGGCACCCAAAGGCTGCCTAGAGGAGGCAGAGGGACTCTTGGGTGTGAGCAGGGAAGCAGCACATGCGGCCTGTGAGTGGGCACCAGGCCACATTGGTGCCTTGGGAGAGGAGACCTGGGTGACTCAGTGCCTTAGCTTCCTGCATTTTGGGGCTCAAGGAAGACATGTAAATGAGCTGGAGCATTATGGGTATTGGCCCTTTATGAGGTCCTGGTGTTGTGGTGGGGCAAGCCTTCAGTCAGTCAGTGTCAATTAGTAGGCTGACTGGGAGCTGAGCCAGGAAGCCAAGGAAGGGAAGGGCTGAAGGCATGGTGAGTGGGGACTGGTTGTGTGGGATCGCCTGCACCGAGAGGGTGGATATTGTTCTGGGTTGGCCTCCTTCACTGGGTGGCCGCACCCACGTGTGAAGTTGGGGGTCATGAGCCCTGAGGAAGCTGCTGTACCTGGGTCTGTGGTTAAGCAGTTCTCCAATCTGTTCAAGGTGAACAGTGAGAACCAGGGGACTGGACCCCAGCTCTCCTCCCTTCTGGGATCTCAGCATCCTGCTCAGCAGGGGGCACCAAGCCTCATTCTTTCTTTGCCTTTCTAGCCTTTCAGACATTGGAGCAAGTGTGAAGCTGGAGAAGTTTCTGGAATCTCAAGACTGTCCACTTCTCCAAGGAGGGAGCCATTGAATTGGCACCCAGGTCTCGCACTACTTCCCCATAGCTTGGAGCCCAAACTCCCGAGACCCCCTACTGCACCCCATTTTCTCCTGTTTCTCCTGTTCTCAGCTTTTCCCACCTGACCCTAGCATCACATGGTCTCCAGAGACTGAAGCCATCAATCAAGTCTTCCTCTTTCTGTCCATCAGCTACAGGCAGGCTGTTTGATCATGTGTCCCCCATTCAACGTAGGCCGTAGGGTCAAGGGCATGTCCTGCCTCTATGTGGAATGGCTATACCAGCTTGTCCACAGAGACCAGATGAAGATCTGCTTTGCTTGCTTCAAGGCAGCTTTCCATACTAATAGAATATTGCTGCAGATGGAATACTTGGAAGGGCTACCATGGCAGGATAAGCCCCAGGAACTCTCAGAGTCAGGATTAAAGCCAGAGGAGGAATCTCAGCCTGAAGAAGAATCTCAGCCCAAGGAAGAATCTGGGCCAGAGGAGTGGTCAGGGCAAATCTGTGCAGAAGATCAAGAACATATGTCTGATTCCATCAGTGACTATTCAAGTCATGGCTTTCTGACTCCAGGCTCTGTAGGGTCAGATCTGGAGCCTGAGGAAGCTGTACCCCTGGACCCAGGCCCCGAGGATACTGACTGGAATCAACCCCTTCCCTGGAGATTAGGTAGCTTCTATCCCTGCCCCCACCAGTGCATTATCCCCCCTCTGTCCTTGTGGGATGTTTTCAATGTGGACCCATATCCTGAGCAACCTGTGTTGTTGGAGTTGAGCCCCCTCTGGCCCATGCGCAACGTAGTAGGAACATGGTTGGAAAACCTGGATTACAACTTGGTGTTGTGTGGCTGTGGTACTGTCTGCTACTTGCTGTCAATGATTCCTTTATGGGCTGTGAGAACCCAGGTCAATCGCTGGCAGGTGTTGCTGGACACGAAAGCCATGATGCAGGCCCACCTGGAGACTGGACCTCAAAAGATGGACCTGAGCCGCTGGAGACTGAGCATCCTAAAGTACTCAAGGATGGGGTTAGAGCTGGAGCCTGCTGACTGCACCCTGCGGAAGGGCGGCTTCAAGGTGCACTCCTATCTGCCCTGGCACAGGGACATCCCAGAGGAATGGAGCAGGAAGCCAGAAGAGATATTGTTTGTCAATAATATTGAGATTATGTGTTACCTGAGAGCTTCCTCTCCTGAGCCTTCTTTTTGAACCCCCAATATCTGAGGCACTGATACTTAGGCACCCCCATTGCCCCAGATCCCTGGGAATATGAAGATTCAGTGATTGCCATTTCTGAGTGGCAGGGGAACGGTTGGTCCAGAATTTTAGGGGAGCATCTGAAACAGTCTAGGGGCTTTGGGACTTCAGAGGGAAGTCTGGCATGTTACAGCAGGAGTTTAGCTGGGCCCAGCTGACTGTTCAGTGTTTGGTAGGTGAGGACTAGCTATATGTGTAGGTGGGGTGTTCCGTATTGGGTGTCCTGAGTGACTAGTTAGAGTCTTGTTCACTATATGCATGTCCTCTGAGGCCCTGGATGACCTGGTGTGTGCAATAGTCAGATCTAAGGATGTCATGAGACAGGGTTTCAGGGTACACTGTACAGAGTATTTATACTGTTTGCTTTTATTTGCCCCTTTTGCTGCTTCTCTTAATAAAGTTGGTGTTTTAAATTTTATTATTTCATGTGGATGGTTTTTCCTTCACATGGTGTCCTTATACCTGGTACTCCAGCATCCAGAGAGGGCGTCAGATCTCTTGAGGCTGGAGTCACTGAGGGTTTTGAACACTGTAGGTGCTGGGAATCAGAGGTGGGACCTGTAGAAGAGTAAGGAGTGCTCTTACCTGCTAAGCCATCTTTCTAGCCCCAGTTCTCAGTGTTTAATGGATGCCCCGTGCAGATTTGCACAGTGGGTTTGATGGAGAAAAGTCCTCCCCCACTTCTGGCTTCAGGGTTTGAGGGCTTTCAGTCCCACGAAGCTGGGGATGGGGCACAGTGGGTTCTGATCCCTCTGAGTCACGTGAGGAGAATGTATCCCCAGTCACAGCCTTCATAACCAGCGGGAGCCCGTGTGGAAGAGCTGTGTGTCACTGATTGACACAAGTATCTGCCCTAGAGGTTGGCAGGGATCTGTGTAGCGTTCCCCATGTCTGATCTGCTCGTGTGAGACCGTGAGACAGTGCTAGTGAGACCTCAGCGTGGGCATGCTATGCATAGAGGGAAGGACACACAAGGGGACAAGGTGCCCATGGACCTCATCCATGGACTCTGAGTGCCCATTGTCTTCTGCCTGTGTGTGGCCCATCTAGAAATTTCTGCAGATCTCTGGGTGGCCCTGGCATAACCTGCTGATTTAAGTGGTTTAGTTATTAATGATAGGAAGATTCTAATCTGGAGGAAACTTGCTGATTAGTTAACAACATGATAGGATCTGACTATGAGTTTTCTTTGCTTTATTTTTTTTCTCTCTTTGAAACAAGGTTACTCTGTAGTCTAGGCAGGTAGGCTCAAACTTAAGATCATCCTGCATTGGGGTCCTGATTTCGGGGATTACAGGTGTTTGCTATTACCCACCTCAAGCATTGCTCTTTACCTAACTTTGAGTGTCTCTTTTCTTCCTTGTCTTCTGGAGTCTTAATTCTTGACACACAGGGTCTGATGCTCATTCTTGGAGAGAGGGCATCACACTGCAGTATAAAAAACACAGCACAGTAAGGAGGCGGCAGCCTTGGTGTTGCCTTCAGAGGTCTGGAGCCTGTGGTCTGTGGGTAGCTAACTCTCCCTCCCAAACCAAACTCGGTCTGTTCCATCTGTGCTGATTCATTCTCTCTCTCTCTCTCTCTCTCTCTCTCTCTCTCTCTCTTTCTCTCTCTCTCTCTCTCTCTCTCTCTCTTTCTCTCTCTCTCTCTCTCTCTCTCTCTCTCTCTCTGTAAAGCAATCAATCACAGCAAACACTTTGTTGTTGTTTTGTCTTCATTATGTAATTTTACTTTTATCGTTGTGTGTGTTTGAGAACGTAGGTTCACATACAACACTGTACACGTGTGCAGGCCAAATGACAAATTTCAGGAGTACACCGGCTTCTTTCAGGAATGATCGCTCAGGTCATCAGAAAGAGATTTTACCTATCAAGCCATCTCATGGGTCCTTAACCCGTTTGTGGGTGCAGACCCTTTTGGGGGGAGGTTTAATTTTGTTTTGTTTTCTTTTGTTACACAGGGTTTCTCTGTGTCTCTTTGGAGCCCATCCTAATACTTGCTCTGTAGACCAGGATGACCTTGAACTCAGAGAGACCCGGTGCCTGCCTCAAGCAGTCAACAATATTTGGGGGCAGGGGTGGGTATTGAGAGAAATGGTTTGTTTGTCTCACACTTCCACATTGCTGCTCATAACTGAAGGAAGTCAGGACAGGAACTCAAACAAGACTGGAACTGAAGGCAGGTAACACTCAATAGCTGAACCACCTCTCTAGCCTCACAATCATTAACAAAGGAACAGAACAGAAAACTATTAATAGTCACACCTGTGTAACAACCTGCACAGGTAAGAAGGTCATGCACCAGAGAACACTTCAAAGCATCAGGACATAAAATGTGGAGATAAACCCACCTATGGTTTGCACTGGGAAAACATCCCATGTCAATTGCAGATGATGTGTGAGCCTGCAGCCTCCTGATTACTCAGCCAATGAGGAAAGAGGGGGAGAAACCACCTTGCAGGGTTATAAATGCAGATCACACTCCACCCTGAAAACCCCATCCACGTGTGTGCACACAGCAGGGGCTTCTTCCTGCCACGGATTTTCCACAGACCACACCCAAACACCTGTTCTCTCAGAAATCCTTTATTTAGTGGGAAAGAAAAGTTAAAGCGGCTGCTCTCTGACTCAGGCAGAAAATCAGCAGCAATGGCCTGCCCATGTCTCTTAAGAAGAGGAAAAAGGCAGTTTGTGTTAGAATGGCTAGGATGCAGTAGGATATTTGGTTTGGGCATTTAATTAGGCGAACCAAAGGGGCCTTTAGCTTGCTGGACTTCTGTCCTCATCCTCAGGAAGAACTCTGACATAGGAAAGTATCCATGTACGGGAACAGGCCTTGCTGCTAGCCTTGGGGATGTAATCTAACAGGTTTGTTTAGCAAGGCAGAGGGAAAGCTAGAAGGACAAGGCCTGCTACAGCTGTGCTTGCCATGCTGTCACTGAACAGAATCTGTTCAAAAAGTTTAAAATTACTGTGCCTAAGAGAACTATAAAACCAAATGGGAGCCAGGCGGTGGTGGCAGCGCACGCCTTTAATCCCAGCACTCGGGAGGCAGAGGCAGGCGGATCTCTGTGAGTTCGAGGCCAGCCTGGTCTAGAAGAGCTAGTTCCAGGACAGGAACCAAAAAAGCTACAGAGAAACCCTGTCTCAAAAATAAAAAAAAAATAATATAAAAACAAATGGGACTCTCATATTTTAAGGACTGTTCAGTATCCGTTTTGTAATACCTGGTCTTGAACAATTTTAACAAAACTATTACTTATGCAAGTTAATATAGGTCACCATATATCACAAATTCTAATTGTCTTAATAGTAAAAACCCAGAGTCAGATATTGAGGTAAATGCAGAAAGAACAGGAACATAAAAATCAGTCAATAAAGAGTCTTTTATCTCTACCAAATCCTCACTAAAAAAAGGGGAAAGATTATATCTCTAACAAATACTCAAACTGAATGTTCAGACTGAAAGCCCTGAGTTTCTGTCTCCTCCCAACTTATATTCCTGTCTTTGCCCATCCACATCACTCCTGTATCCACCTCCCTGGTGCTGGGATTAAAGTCATGTGAAACCAAGTGCTGGGCTCAAAAGTGTCACTCTGTTTCTCTTTCAGACAGATTCAGTCTTGTGTAGAGCAGAGCAAGCACCCTTGAACTCACAGAGATCCATCTGCCTCTGATTCCAGAGTGCTGAAATTAAAGGTATGAGCCACTACTGCCTGGCCTCTATAGCCCACTAGTGTGGCTAGCTCCCCACTCTGATCATCAGGCATGCATTATTTGTTAGATCTTAAACAAAATATCACATCATCAGTTTAACTGCTGATTTTGTTGCTGTAACCAAAAGCTTGTTTTGCTCAAGATGACCTTCTGCTCACCTGTAAATAAATAAACTTTATTCTCTTTTCCTTTATGAACCCCTGGCTTATGGGGCTGGGAGCTACATTTGAGTATAGACCTGGAGCCAGTATATGAAGCAAAAGCTTCTTCTTTGTTACAGTGTGTTAATGGTCAAACTGGTGAATGTCTGAAGGACCCACAGACCCATTCATGTATCACTTCCAAGGCAGAGAGCTTCCCGCTGTGTCAAAGTGGAGTAAGCTAGCTGTAAGCAAGGAATGCCACATTAATTCTCCTCCCTTTTGACTATGGGAGAAATGTGACGAGAGGATCGAGGTTCTGCCTTTATTTAGTAAAAAAGAAAGAAAGAAAGAAAGAAAGAAAGAAAGAAAGAAAGAAACTATAGTGTGTGACCTCAAATTGTAAGCCAAATAAACGTCTCATCCCCAAAGTTTCCTTTTGTTAGTGAATTTTATCACAACCACAGAAATGAAGATGGACCATCCTCTCTCTACCCATACATGAGCTTAGCAAAGGGACTTATCAGCAAGTCAGGAGTTCCCTCATGAAAGTCTGACCAGAACAAGTTGAGAAGAAAGCAATGAAGACCAGGTGACACATGAACACTCACAAATATTCCTGAAGAGAAGCACTGATGGACTTGTTGGGTCTTCCTGTAGGGTAAAGGTCCAATCGCACTTCAGGGTTTCAAATGCTATCAAACCCACCAATCTCAGAATTCAAAATCCTACGAATCCCCACTGTGGAAATCTCCACCCTCCAAAACCCTGCCCTGAGAAACCCTTCATATAAAACTTGCCTCCTGCTCAGATGCCTGCTGCTTCTCTGTGGAGCACAGGCAGCCACCATCTGTGTCTTTCCCAATAAATCTCTTGAGTGAGGTTTGTTGTGCAGTGCGACCCTGTGGCTCCTCACAGCCAGGATAGATTTCCCCTCAGAGCCGCAACACTTCCACTGGGGAAATCTTTCTCCTCAATACTGTACACCAACACTCGCCTGAACCATGAGGGACAGCACAGGAACTGTCTCCTACCTGACTTGAAGAGTCAGCAACACAACCTGGTTATATGGGAAGGAGGGGTATGGCAGAGGTTT